TTTCATTCTTGTTCTGAAGGAATGTATGTAACAATGATCTGTTTCTTCCAAACTTCCAAACCAAAATGGCATGGGTCGATGTAAATAAGACCCACTTTACTATTTATTAATTGCTATGTACAAATAAGTATATATTATCCGTACCATGTACCGACATGACAAAACATTATTTAAAAACATCTAAAATATTAAAGGCCAACTCGTTAACACATCCTTCAAAAGTTAAAAACTTGTACTATTTCAGAGGAATTAGATGGTTCATGGTGAGGCTTATATATTGTATGTACCCCCCCCCCCCCCCACACACACACACACATCCATGATTTAAAAATTAAAAAGCCAGCACATCACCAAGACCTAAGAGAGAGAAAACCGGAGGACCCGGACAAAACCCACGAGGTTGGACAGGCGACCCTAAAAGTCAGGTTTTCTTTTGTTTACAAGCTAAATTGTAAGCCACATACAGACAATGTTATCGGCAACTTTAAAATCTTTTCGAAGCGATCCTTCTGTTTATACTCTCCATAATCAGAGACAATGGGGGGGGGGGGGCGTAACGGGCTACTCAACACAAACCAGGTAATTTCAGGACTAAAATATTCTACAATTTCATTTCAATAATTCGCTTGCGCGTTGGGGTTTATTTAGAAAATTTAGAGAACACGAGGTTCCCGAGAGAAAACTCACGCTGTTATACAGGCGACCCTACTCCTCGTTACGTTACAGACTTAAGATCTAAAGCGATTCCGTTACACCATTCGGTCACACAATCCCCCGGCATCTATACACGATAGTATTCCACTTTAAGATCTATTTTAAAATTACATGGTATAAACACATTTGTTAAATTTACTAGGTTATAATTAGCCATATCAATAAGATTATCAGGGATTATACAATACAATATGAACAAATGAGCACGTGAGCCAGTTGACTGAATGACAGACCACGTGCTAACCATTCGCCCCCCCCCCCCAAAAAAAAAAAAAAAAACCAAAACAACAAACGTCCATATATCAAGTCAGGTTAATGGATTGGACGCCTGTTGTCCACTGTGCCGTACAGACCCGGTCATGTTGAGATACAGGCTTCATACAAAATGAGGGGAGGGTGGACGGCTGAATGGTTAGCGCGTGCGCGCTGTATCATAAAGTCTGTCATTGAGTCAACTGGCATGGTTTCGATACCCCCGTTGTACGTGGCTAGGAGTAGGCTTTTCTCCGGGTCCTATTTTTCTCTTACTAACAATAAATTGTAGAGAAACGAACAATAAGAAAGAAATATTTCCTAAACGTTGTGTGATAATGACATGCGTAATGAACGACTATGTGCTACTCGAAATCTCAATGTTAAGGTATAACAACCGTACATTGCCAAGTAGAGGGGAACAAGATTGTATCTATTCCAACATACAATGAATGACAGGTTATTACTATAATTAATATATCGATAGACATTAATATTTGTTACCTGTATAATTATGAGTTGGAAACAAATATCTTTACACCTAATTGTCAATGTCAAATTTCACAATATTGTAGTTTGCAAGGAACTAATAATCGGTCCAATGACATCAAGAGACCTTATATGTACGCTGTCCGCTCATATTAGTTCAATGCTAATAATAATAATCACCAACTCTTTAATATTTAAAGGGTCAATATTGACCTACGCTATAATCTATTGGATGGTAACAATTTCCTTTACAAGAAATCATTATATAAAATATTCACAAAAATTCATCTTTGAAATTCACGAAAAAGAACACTGAACAGACGTAATTGAATCTGGGCATCGATCAGAAAGGGAAACGTTGTCTCATTAGTAAAGGTTTTGCAAGTAAAATTGTTGGCTTGTATACTACAGTATACGCCACCAAGTAGGAATGCCCATAAATTATAACAAGTAGGATTGTACTATTGACAAAGAACTGGCCATGTTGTTGGTTGAAATTCAAAAATCTAATTTACCAAATCGATGCTGAATTGTTCAAAGTAAGTATGCCAGTTTTCATGTCGATCGGACTTGCATTGACGGAGCCTAAGGATTTTTCGAAAAAATGAAATGAAATGGGGGTTTAACGTCCTACTGTTCTGATCCGAACTGGGCTAATGAAGACGGGCATATTCCATACAGATTGCTAAGGGGGAAATTTTGACCGGGTAGCGGCACTACGGCCTACTCTTATATCGAATTCCAACAGTCAAGGGATATTTTACGTGTACGCCAATGTGTACATGGGACCTTGGTTTTCCGTCCAATCCGAACGACTAGACAGCTGTACTTGTCACGCACTCTGTCCTGCATTACTGACTAGCGATAACCACGCCGGAAAATCTGGATGAACTTTCTCTGCCAATGCAGGGATCGATCTCCAGGCTAGCGAGCCAGCGTCTTACCCACTTAGCCACCGTGATCCCTCGATTTTTCGAAGAGCCCCAACCCAAGAAGAAGAAGAAAGAGATGAGTAGCGGTTAGCGACCAGTTCCTGGTCCAAAAATATATAATAAATTAATGATCAAAGCTTTATACTAATACAAAACAGATGTGGGGTATAAAAACACTCTAGCGGGGCATTACATAACCACAGTCAATATATTAAGCATCGAGTTTAAAGGAGCTAAATCGCTAATATTTGGGACCCAGAAATTGACACACATGGGTCGTAACGCATATAATAATGTAATATAAATATATAATTATAAACTGATTTACATTAAATTGTTTCTGTTTTTACTCTAATTTCAAAAATCAGTTACGTTCGGCAAAATACGCGAGAAGTCTCAATCGAATGGCAATCTCTAGCTTCTAGTTATTCCAGTCTACACAGGTAGTGTTTATTGCGCAAGCTCCCTATATGAGAATATGACGTCACCGATTGTGGAATATGTCTAGCCTCGTTCTTCGAGTCCCTTGTTACAACATCCGGTAAGATCACAACATTAAAGTTGATTTAAATTGACAAATGATTCGTGTTTTCAGTGTCGAAGACTTTTGGTGATACTGAGTTAAAGACTTGGCTACTTTAAAAGTGCAGAATGAAAGCCATCGTGAATAAACATTGATGAATTCTTTTTTGTTCTAAAATTACGATGAATTAGTAAGAGTTGAAGAGAGCAATATCATTTGAAGATATATGTATTTTTAATGCCCAACTGGCCATTGAGGGATTATATTTGTGCGTTATTAGATCATAAGGTCTGTCATTGAGTCAAGTTCAAGTGGCGCAGTGTCGATTTCCCGGTTGTGCGTGACAAGAAGAAGGATCGACTGTCCAGCCTCGTGGGCTTTCTCCTTGTTGGACCCACGGATAAAAAAACTCTAAGCAAAAGCTTATTTATTGAAATAAAATTGTACCTAGTTTGTGTCAATAGAGGTTAAATATCTTTTCTGTCTCTCTGATTATCCCGGTAGGTGCAGTACAATAGGGACGTTAAGAGTCCATTTCATTTCTGACACCATTTTTATTTTCCCTACATGCCTTCTTTGAAATTTGGCTTTAAAAATTAATAAACCATAACCGACACAAACACAATAGGCTTTAAAAATGTAAAAAAAAAAAGAAATTAATGAATCATATGTGGTTATAGGAGAAAAACGATAATATATTAAAGATGGCAGATGATAGCGTGCTATCATTGATATTAAATGTATATATCATTTATAGGTTTTCCTGTGTCGTGTAACACTATTAGTGATAATAGAGATCAGTTTATTAAATATACTATTTATTTACATCGGGATCAGAAACATATATACACAGAAACATAAATCAAACAGCAACTTAAATATACTCTTCCACAAAACGAGAAACGCATACTGAAATTTCGTCGTCGGTATACCCTCGCCCTACCATCGCCTAGTTACAATAGGAACTGCGGCTCGTCGCTGAACCAAACTGTTCTCCAGCGTTGCTGGGGCCATACCCTGTGTGCCCGAGCCCATTGAAGTCGGATTTGAGTGTGTGACGGCGAGTCAAAACAACAGCTCTAACGTCCCGTCTTAGGTTTAATCCGACTTCACGTAGGCGGTTACGGACAGTCTGGTCTAAGATCCTACGCCGTCCAGGAATCGTTTCTGCAGTAGATGTAGCGGTTGTGAACAGTTTCTGCAATGACGTAACCGGATGGAACGATCCTGGGTAGGTATGGTCACTCTTGGTCGGCCTGAGCGTGGGCGGTCACTTGTTGAACCTCGCTCACGGTACCTATCCCAAAAGCGAGAGCTTGTAAGCAACCGATAGCGTTGTTGCCTTGGTCTTCATTCAGACGTGTCATTACTTGGCTCGTCCAGTGCAACTAATTTTGAAACCGAGAAAAGCTTTCGTGCGAAAAGCTTGCAAAGTTGATAAACTCATGTGTTTTGGTGCAATCAAGCGAAAACAAATTTCGGTAAGAAGTATGACCAGTCACAATTAGTGACCCTATATTTAAAACCAATAATGAATTTCCTTTATCCTTACATAATGACATTCAAAATAAGTAAGATTTATGTAAACAACGATCCTGTTAAAACCAAAATGGTTTGTTTGTTTTTTGGGGTTTTTTTTTGTTTGTTTTTGTTTTTGAAGAGTATATATCAGGAACATAAACCGAACATGAACTAAACTACACCAGGAACATAAACAGTAACATTAACACGGTGCATTAACAGACAATCATTCCGCTCGTCTACCTTGGCAGACGCCCGTCTTTCTCCCACTCAGGGCTGACTGTGCATTCTATTTAATAAAGATCTTTGTCACTACATCTGGAAAATATTAAGTTCCCATCCATAGTTTGATGTCGTTGGTGCCACTTTCTAGTCTCTGTTTCTGATCAATAATTTGGTTATGAATGGCAGGTTGAAACCCCAGCATACAGATGATATTCATGACCATTTACCTTACATCAGAATTGAGTAAAGGGTGAAGAATATTGGTCCTAGAACGGAACCTTGGGGCACACCGAAATCAATTACACTGATATCACCATTTATAGTTACTCGTTGTTGTCATTCAGTTAGAAATTGCAAATGTAGCTTGATAACTCTGAGAGTACCATCAACAAAACACTAATTAAAATATACTATTCAAAAAAAGTAGGGGATATTTGATTTTGGGGGCATAATACTAAAATATGCAAATGACTACGAAAAAAGTCACTATAGAACCTAACAGAAGAAACATTCCCAGTTACATGTGACGCCCAAACGCACCAATAGCTACCGCATGGAATGCAGGTGATGCTTGGGATCATCATGGGGGTCCAACCCAAGATTTGCACGACTCTGACTTTGAATGTTACAGTCATTGTGGCATTGAATTCCAGGGTGGAAACACCAGTTTAATTGTTTTAGTGACCAGAAAACAAATTTTGATATGCGTCGGCTTACCCAAAATGAAAGGTTACGTGCCCTTGGCATGCTACAGATCGGCACAACACAGGCGGTTGTGGCGCGGATGATGAATGTTTCTCAGTCTGTCATAAGCAGGCTATGGTCCAGATACCGTGATACACAATCTGTACAGGACAGACCACGCTCAGGTCGACCAAGGGCGACAACTCAAGCCCAGGATCGATTTATCCGTACCTTGGCCTTGAGAAATCGTGTCATCACAGCAAATCAGATCAGCGCTCGTCTTCAAACAGACACTGGTGTGAGAGTGAGTGGCCAGACGATTCGGAATCGACTGCATAGGGGTCACCTTCGCGCCCGACGTCCTCGCGTGATCCCTTGTTTGAGAGATCATCACATTCAGGCAAGACGTCATTGGTGTAGGGATCGTCAACACTGGGATAATCGACGCTTGAGCAATGTGATGTTTTCAGATGAGTCAAGGTTCACTGTTGATTTTTTGGACAGACGTAGGAGGGTGTGGCGTCGTCGAAACGAGCGCTTCCAAGACGTTAACGTCATCAGACATGATCGATTTGGGGGTGGTTCTGTTATGGTGTGGGGAGGCATCACTGTTGCTGGAAGAACGGCTTTACATGTTGTTGCAGGGCGTGTTACAGGCCAGTACTACCGGGACAACATCTTGGCAGTCCATGTTGTGCCGTTCGCACGACGTCATGGCCGCCGTTTCATCTTCCAGGATGACAACGCAAGATGTCACAGGGCCAGGATCGTTACAGGTTACCTCCAACAACAGAACATCACCACATTACCTTGGCCAGCACTGAGTCCCGACCTCTCCCCCATCGAGCATGTCTGGGACATGCTTGGACAGAGGTTACGTCAACGTCAACAACGTCCTGCCAATGTCCAAGAACTTGCTGCTGCGTTGCAACAGGAATGGGACAATCTGGACCAAAATGACCTTAGACGTCTCATTAGGAGTATGCCACGTCGGATCAATGCTTGTTTGGCAAACAGAGGAGGATTTACCCGTTACTGACTTGGTTGTGATGCTGTGGTAACTTTGCTGTTTGACCCCGGGTATCATTTTACCCTTATAATGGTCAGTCTGTGCCTTACTTAGTCTAACGATCATTTGTTTCTTCGTCAGTTTCATTAGGTGACTTTAATAACACTTAAAAATCAAATATCCCCTACTTTTTTTGAATAGTATAGTAATTGTGTTCAATATTATTTTTTTGTGTTTATTCCCAGATATATTTTTAAAGGGAATAGTTATTTGTAGATGATTCCCTCTGTTTGGAAATCTGACTGTCAGACAATAACCTCTTTTTCACCATCAGATGATTGCCCCTGTTTGATCTTGCCATATATATTGCATTGTCGTTAATACAGATTTTACCGGTGCTGTCCCCCCCCCCCCCTATCAGTGTCGCAGTACGGGGTGCCTGACAAGGGATAAAGTATAGTCGTTCGGATGGGACGAGAAACGGAGGTTCCGTGTACACATTGACGTGCACACAATAGATCTCTTGGCAGTGGGAATTGGATATAATAGTAGGCCGTAGAGCCACTGTCCGGACAAAATTTTGAATCATAGCACACTGTGTGGTGTATACTAAGCTTCATTAGCCCAGTCAGAGCAGAACAGTATAGGATGTTAAACCCCATTGCATTTCACTTTATTTGCCAATAAAGGTTATTAATATCAGTCAATATTTTTACTATAATACTTTTACATTAACGTTTTATAATTAAACAGAGCGGGGGGATTTATGTATTGTTTAATGGTCGAGAGCGAGACATTAAGTAATATATTGTAACAACAAGAGGACCGTCAGGTCCGAGTGTTTTTACAATATATTACGCAATGTCTCAGCTCGAGACCATTAAACATCTTAAAATACAGACACTCCGCACGTGCGTTTACAGTGAAATACGTCACTCGAGTCTAATATTTGACAAGGTACGATTGGCAAGTTGCCCGTACAATTATTTGAAATAATGGTATGCCAACATCAAAGGGTGACGTCACATCTGTATTTTAAATCATTTTATTGTAGGTTGTGCTACTACTACACGATAAATACCAATTTACATATTAAATACAGGCTTCTCAGCTAACACCATACTTAAATAGAAGCGATCCAGGTGAGATATTCAGATACACGGGTATAAACACTGGGGTATGTACAAGGACAACCTGATGCGCCCCATGATGTAACACCAGCTAAAACACCATTACAGACCATTGGTCCACCACTATCACCCTGCAATTAAAGCAAATATTGTGTTAACAGTACTCTACGGTGAAAATAGTATTCTACTACTATCAATCTGCAGTTAACACAATAGTATGTAACTATCACTCTGCATGTACAAAGTATATTGCATTCCCTTGCTGTTAAGGCAAAATACCATGCAACTTACAAAGTATATTGCATTCCCCTATAGTTAAGGAAAAATGCTATGCAACTAACACCCTGAAGTTAAAACATGTAATTTAGTTTAATCTAGCTTGATTTAACTGTATTTACCATGGAAGATATACGAAGGCAAACATTTTAGAAAGGGAACTTACGTTACAGGCTGATTTGTTAGGCTCATCAACACAGATATGTCCACTGTTGATAGAACTGTCCCAACTACTTGCACAGTCACTGTTTGAGATTTGATTCATAGCAACGTATTGAAGAGTGTTTGGTAAACTGCTACCGCCTGGCAAAAAAAACCCCAACAAAATATATCTAACGAAATGAGGCTTAAAGCTACAATTTCATATTTTTAAGTTATATTTTAAAAATGTATTAAAATAATACATGGTATCTATAAACAGTCCTACAATGTTAAAGAATAATTCTATTAATCCTATAATTCACTATTGCCAGTTGAGAAATTGGCAAAAATATCATTTTCAACTTCAAATTCAAACGTTTGCAGATAGCTATTCCATGGCAGGGAATAGAAAAACAAGGGAGGTAATTAGGAGGTAATTGTGTTATTATTTCCGGTGTTAAACATTTTTGAGTGTGAGAATGATAACTATGATCGTATAATAGTGAGTTGACAACCTATTGAGCAAAAGACATAGAAATAATTATGTTTTGACTTTCTTAGAAAATATGAAATTGTAGCTTTAACGTCCTGCTGTTCTGTGCCGACTAGGCTTATGACGATGGGCATACGCCACACAGTGTGCTATGAGGGGTATTATGCCCGGACAGCGACGCTACGGCCTACTCTTATATCGAATTCCAACTGCCATGGGTTCTTTTACGCACACGCCAATGTGTACACGGTACCTCGGTTTTTCGTCCCATCCGGACGACTATACATTATCCCTTGCCAGGCCCACCGTCCTACACTAACGACAAGGGGGAACCACACCGGGAAATCCCGACGAACTTCCTCGGTCAACACAGGAATTGGACAGAAGACCTCCAGATTAGCGAGTCAATGCCTTACTCACTGAGCCACCGCGGGCAAAAACAATTATTTATTAGAGTCCATAGCAATTTAATAACATAATACATAGCAGGTTAGAACCCACGATATAGACATATAGGGCCCAATTAATATAATCAAGTTGATGTACGTACCAGATGTTCTGCCCCATCCACAAAGGGTACGGGGATCGCGTGACAAAGTGGGTAAGACGCTGGCTCGCTAGCCTGGAGGTAGGATGTTCGATCCCTGCATTGGCCGAGAAAGTTCATGCAGGACGGAGGGCCTGACAAGGACAGCTGTCTAGTCGTTCGGATGGGACGAAATACCGAGGTCCCGGGTACACATTGGCGTGCACGTACAAGATCCCTTGGCAGTTGGAATTCGATATAAGAGTAGGCCGTAGCGCCGCTGCCCGGGCAAAATTTCCCTCATAGCACACTGTATGTTGCATGCCCGTCTTCATTAGCCCAGTTTATGAGCAGTACAGTAGGACGTTAAACCCCATTTCATTTCATTTCATTTCCACTAAGGGTACATTTCTGGCCTATAAAACTGGATCCAGAGGAAGCGAGGCTGATGGTACTTACAGCTGACCTTCCGGTATTGGCATTGGATGAAAGTCTCATAACAGAAATATCATTAGGATATCCATTGGCATTACCACTGTAGTTGGGATGCTATACATTATCATGGTGAATTATAAATTGATATTTGTTTTAATTCTAACCGGTAGCAAGTGTCATGTGTAAGGCAGTGTATTTTGTTCGCTGCTTACTGACCTGACATCACTTTTCATTTTAAGAGTTTTGCGAAGCTAATTTTTTTATCCATACCTACGACTAGAATAATAAATTATAAAATTACTTACGTTTACAATAGAACTGATGTAGATAGTCTGTTCTGTATTATCAATTATCATCATTGTTAAGTCTGTGTTCACCAAAAACAACTCGGTATGACCCGGGACTGACAACATGAAATTAAAACAGGTTCAGTTAATACCTGGGTAAGATTATTAAAAATAGCAAGAAATAAAAAAAATCCGAAAGTCAGGAAAAGGTGAAGAGTGATCAATAGTTTACCACGATATCTAGCAAAATGTATTTAAAAATTGTTGCCAATCGCTTTGAAAATGAAACATTGGGAAAATAGAATGAACTGAAGGTGGTAGTTTGCTCATGTTTAGGGAAATAGATGGGATTTGGTTTGCTTCTATGGTTACGGTGTTATTACCAAGGAGGCTAATATCCCCGTAATATTTACCAACTACGAAATTGTGAAAGGAAAAAGAGTCTGAAAATGATTCCTTCACTTTAAGCATTTAGAAAGATGTGATGAATTGAAACGATGTCAACAGGAAATCAAGCGCCCCCTATACTTTTCGTGAAAATCTTTTGATGGGCCCCAATTCAGTTCGATTGAATCAATGCACGGATATTATCTCCGTTGATGTTTCATTTTGTTCTCTTCTTTAAATGTTAAAGTAACTAAGTCTCTAACTCAATATCATCCAAAGTTTTCAACATTGAAAACACGAATTATTTGTCAATTTAAATCAACATTGGTGTTGTGATCTTACCGGGAAAAGACGGACTTCTGATATCCAATATTTAAGACAAAATGAACGGTTTACCACTGGTACACCAATCGTGTACCATAATGTGTTTCAGCGTCATTTGTAACAAGGGACTCGAAGAACGAGGCTAGACATATTCCACAAGTCATGTCAAACGGTGACCACATATTCTTATCTGGGGAGTATGCGCAATAAATACTTTTGGTGTAGACCGCAATAACCAGACGCTAGAGATAGCCATTCGATTGAGACTTCTGGTGTATTTCGCCGAACATAACTGATTAGAATTTACAGCAAAAACAGAAACGATTGAATGTAATTCAGTTTATATACATTCATATTTCATTATTATATGCGTTGCGACCCATTTGTGTCAATTTCTTTGTCCCAAATATTAGCGATTTAGCTCTAGGTCCCAAATATTAGCGATTTAGCTCCTTTAAATAATTAATTTAATTACATTACATGGCAATTATTGACTTTAGTGTATACTGTTTCGATGGAATTTGAAGATAATGTATAGAAATAAATTAAACCTGGTGGGAGTAACACAATGGGGAGCTGTTAAAATTCAGTTGCTGAAAATCAAACTTCCACCACAGATATGAGACCAGCTGCTACCAGAACTTCTCTGGAGAGACACTTGCCATGGGAACTGTCCAGCATAGGCGTTCACTCCCCCAATAATTCTCTGTGATAATTCACTAGAGGCAATTCCTGAAACATAAAAATATAGAAATCAGTAACTGTATATCCCGCTATTGCAAGGTTTGGGGAGGATGATGACCATATCTGGGGCATATCTGGGAGAATGTTTTATATTTCAAGAATTATTTTCGGAAACAGTCATATTTATGATATAAAAATTATGTACTTCATTACTTATGCCTTGCACAATCCTATCAGTACCCATTTATGGCTTGGTATAATGAGAGGTAAGCACACAATGCCATGTGTAAGAATTAAATTATTTGACACAGCCAAACGAAGTGTTCGAACATGCCGTCATATGGTTACAGACCTAACCAGCCAACTCTCGTTTCGTTACTCCTCTCCCACCTTTCTTCCGTCTTCATTTAGCCAGTCAGAGCATTAACAGTAGGAAGTTAAAATCCATTTCATTTCCTTTCCACACTTCATGTAACAAAATTAAACCACAACTCACCAGCCAAAGCAAGCATGCATAAAAGGAGTTGCATCTTGAAGAATGGTATCTCAGTCTGTATACAGATTATGACGACTTCCTTCTATCAACGCATGTTTTATATATTGTACAGATCATGTTGAAGAGTCTTCCATAAAGTGTTTTACAACGATATTATACTGAACAATAACTTTTATACTAAAATGAATATATAAACATAAGATCTAAACTTAAATGGTTTTACTGCATTATAGCATGGGATATCAACAACTGTCGTGCATTTAACTTTTTCGCCTTTCATACAGATTCAGCAATGATGACTATTTAATTTGTGGGAGGGAGAAAGAGAGATATGGGGCGTAAGGCCCACTCGATACAAACTAGGTCATTCCGTGACTAACATATGGTTTCATTGTTTTAATTCAGAAATTCGTGAAGACGTAGGGTTCTTTAGCTGTTGGAGAACACCCAGAGAAAACCCATCAGGTTGGATAGACGACCCTAGTCTTTAAACCATTTAATACAGTTCAAATATGGTATGTTGGAACCTATAATAACCTTTGAATTAACGTTTGAGTTTTAATACAGTTCTAATATATTATGTTGGGTGGAACCTGCATGAACGTGTGGGTTTTATTATAGTTCAATTATGGTATGTGCGAACCTATTTTAACGTTTGAGTAATACTGTTCAAATTGGGACCTGCATTAACGTTTGAGTTTTAATACAGTTCAATTATGGTATGTCTGAACCTATATTAAAAGTTCTAAACCTGTAACTTAATATTTTCCATAAAATTCGGAATTAAAAACACGAATTGGGATGCAATAATAGCAATTAATACGGCCAAACGCCATACAGCAGCGTTTCTGACTATTCCTCAAAAGATTCCAATTGCCAAGGATTCTTTTATGTGTACGCCCACTTGTACACGGGGCGTCAATTTTCGTCCTATCCGAAGGAATAGAAAGGTAACAGGGTAACAAATTATAGACAATGTGTATTGAATCATATTTTATTATTAACAATTTCAAGAAGATTATTTAAGAAGATAAATTCTGTTAATGCTACGTTTTGTTTTGGTTTAGTTGGTAAGAGTGCTTGTAACGCGACATTGCAGAATGTACCACCCCTTCTCCAGACTTGATTAGGGGAGATAATAAGGCTACGAGTGCGTGTATTGTTGATGTCCAGTCTGGAGTCAGACAACCCCTGTTTTAGTCAGTAGTACCCGAATCTCCAACGTTATTTTTTCAGAATTGTAACACAGATTCTAATACTGACATACTGTAAGACAGCCGATCCGTCTAAAATAACATATATATCTGCAACTTTTAATATCTATTCGAAGTGGCACACAAAACAACACACCCTTAAATCGTTGACATGCGGTATTGGACATTTAACTTAGAAGTCGACGAAATAGAAACAACTTTTAAAATAATATATCGTAAAGATAATAAATTATATAAACTTTACGTCAATAATTAAAGAATACAGGTTTGTAAAATACAAAGCATATCATGTGTCCATGACTATTTATCATATCACAACCTGCAAATAACATATATATCTGCAACTTTTAATATCTATTCGAAGTGGCACACAAAACAACACACCCTTAAATCGTTGACATGCGGTATTGGACATTTAACTTAGAAGTCGACGAAATAGAAACAACTTTTAAAATAATATATCGTAAAGATAATAAATTATATAAACTTTACGTCAATAATTAAAGAATACAGGTTTGTAAAATACAAAGCATATCATGTGTCCATGACTATTTATCATATCACAACCTGCATAGGTATTTGCATTTCAATATCCCCTACCCTACTTTTTTTGAAGAGTATATTATCGATTTTCTCCCATAACCGCATATGGTTCATTACTTTCTTTTTTTTTCATTTTTAAAACGTTTTGTGTTTGTGTCGGTTATGGTTTAGTAATTTTTAAAGCCAAATTTTAAAGAAGGAATGTAGCGAAAATAGAAATGAATTGGACTCTTAACGTCCCTATTTTCTTCACCTACCGGGATAATGAGAGAGACAGAAAGATATTTAACCTCTATCGAAACAAACTATGTACATTTTTATTTCAATAAATAAGCTTTTGCTTAGGGTTCTTTACCCGTGGGTCTAACACGGAAAAAACCCACGAGGTTGGACAGGCGACCCTACTTCTTGTCACGCACAACCGGGATATTTTTTTCTTTTTTGAGTGTATAAACTATAGATCAATAATTCAAAAATACAGGTTTGTAAAATAAAATATCTGATTCTATATAGGTATTAATATTTCATTAATGCAGAAGGTATTTATATCAATACATCCATTCATATATTTTTTTTTGATTTACAAAAGATTGTGGAAATATATATTTGAGTCAATATATCGATTTTCTTTCAGATCTTTGCATAATAATACATGTTAAAGTCCCGATGGATCATCTTAGCTCCATAGAATCGCATGCAAACTACAATGTTGTGAAAGATGAATCTATAATAGGAGTAACAGTCTCAAAATGGTTCAATTCCATTCGGTATTTACGTATTTACAATGATAAGTGGAATTAAAATTTCATCGATCTATGCTACTCGTTATGTAATAAGTCCGTCGGTAGTTTGTTATCCGCGAAATTTATTGACAGGCCTTTTTTAAAAAAAAAAAAAAAAATCTGATTATCTAGCGTTGATATTTTGATTTTGTTTCCTTAATTAAATGTTAAATAATCAACATATTTGAAATCTTAGCGTAAAATATAAATGACGTAACGCGACTTTAACTGAATTATTGACTGATTATTTCAGTCTGATTAGTCAACCTATTGTCTATAGTGTGTATTTAAACTTTAACTTAGACCCGGCCATTTTGTCCTGATAAACGCTATTAAACCATTCATCTTGGGCTACTGTAAACCAATTCATCCAATCACCAACATCTCCTGAATAACAAACAAAATAAAATGAACAGAAATGGGGTTTAACGTCCTACTGTTCTACACCGACCGAGCTAATAAAGACTGGAATAATATACAAACATAACAGATGGTTGTGGGTGGGTATGACGTATAATATGTTACAGTTTTAGACATTTAGACATAGAACCAGCAGATGAAATGAAATAAAAGCGAAAAGCGGGTTAACGTTTCTAATTTGCTATACCAGCCTGGCTTATAAACTGATATACGCTATGCGGACAGCATCGTTTCCATCCACTGTTAACCTACTTCCATCTCTCATGGGTTGTCATGAGGGGACTCTAAAGAGGGTTAGGTCTAAATATCAAGGCCAACTGCAGATTTCACCAGATGTAAATAGTATTAGGGCAGGTAATTGTTGGCGATATAGTGGCCAAGAGTTATGACCAGGTGTAGGGTTAGCGCTAGCCTGGTTTACTTCTCGTGAGCTTCGACCATATCAGCAGTTGACCTAAATATTTAAACCTAACCCACCAAACATGGGCTTTTATATGAAGGGAAACAACTTTCGTGCTTCTTTTTAACTAAACGTTTGGCGCCTGGTACTAATTTTCCTTTGAGCCAATTTTAGTTGGGTTTAACATTTTCTACAAAAGATCGTGCATCGGGACGGTATGTGATTCACCGTTGACACTTGAGATACAAGTTAACATTCCAACGTAAGCGACTTCTTGACTCAATTATCCTTCCGCTAGGCTGGAACGAAAAGCCGAGTTATGCTGATGTTGACGTGCACTTAAAACAACACTTGACAGTTGGAATTCCAAAAAAGGGTGTCGCTATCGGCCTTCTTTGTTCCAATTGGTACATAATAGTGGAAAGTTAAGCACCATTTCATTGTCGCCACAAAATCGTGAATATTCAACAAAATCTAGGAGAAATTGTATTGAAACCACTTTTCTATGATTAGACACCAAGGGGGTGGGGGTGTTATATGATGGCAGATGTTGGTGATAGTCACGTACCATCTTGACACATGAAAGCAGAATTGATTAAAATAGCTTTATGTCGGCTATTGACATCCATGCTTTTCCAGAATGCACGCATTATTCATTAAAATAATATAAACTTATAGCTGGCCCGATTTATGTAATGTCCTATGTCTTGTTAAACAATCTGCACTGAACGTTTAATCTGGTATATATAATGCAATATAGCCAGCTGGATAATCTCTTCGATCATCCTTTGTCTAGAAAGGGTTCATAAGTATGAATGAAAAGGAGATGGGCCAGAGAAGGCCATGGACTCCTTGAGTTAAGGCTAGAACCAGGGCCATGTAAGTTGGTTGGGATGGGGGACACGCCGGTACCGAATCCAGGTCAGAGAGCAGAGCTCGAAACAAGGCTGCTACAAGTCAAGGAACCTGATAAATAAGTGTTATTTAAGAAATCTTGTACATGCCATGTTTAAAGTAGAATCAAAGTATTATATAAAGTTTAAACCAGTGTTGTCATCCAGAACCGATTCAAAGAACCTACAAGTGTAACAAAGGGCTAGCAAAGTTACAAATAGAAGGAACAAAAGGAACTAATAGTAATGGTGGTCTGACACCGTGTTACATTGTATCTTCTCGACCTACCTTTCCTGTATATAACAGATTCACCATCCTCGGTCGGCATCAACAGACCTTTCCTTGCCTTCATATTTTTGAAGCTACATTGCTGGTTTATATCATCAATTAATGTTTCGTTATATGGGACTTCTAAAAATTCTGCAATTTTCTTTACTTCCTTGTTGGGGTTCTAGAATGATTTTTAAAAAAAAAAACAAATTAAATATGTTAAAGGGGAGTGTCGAGATTGCCATGAAAAATTGAATTTGTAGATTGAATTAAATTATCTGTTATTTGGTGGATATCGTTTGTAATAGTTAGGGCATACGCTATGCATGAGGACCCATTTGCGTCTTAGAATTTCAATTTCTAAGGGTTCTTTCGGAGAGAGACAGAGAGAGAGAGGGGGGGAGACGGGGTTTAACGTCAACTTGGGATTGAGATATGGTTTAATTTAATTCAATAATTCGCTTGCGACTAGGAGTCTTTCGCAGAGGTGGAAACCGGAGAATCCAGAGTAAACCCACGAGGTCGGACAGGCGACCAACTCCTTGTCACGTACAAGCCGGGAATCGAAACCACGCCACTTGACTCAATGACAGATCTTCTGATTCAACGAGAACTCTTTAACCATTTGGCCACCCAAACCCCAGTTTCGATATGGCCACGACCATTTGAAAATTTGTTCATTGGGAAAAATTATAACTTTTTCTACCTATTCATTTGGGGCTTGGCTGCTCTTCTCAATAGCTCTTAAATCCACATTTGGAAGTTTGGAATGTTAAACAAAACATCTGTTACGACATTCGGGTGGCTGTTTATGGGTAAATATCCCAAAGTACTAAATATTAAACTGGTTTGGTCTACGTGTGTTCACCTCTTTTATGTCTTCAAACGTCAGATCTAATATTTGTAGTTCCGGGTGAGTTTCTTTAACTTCTTCCCAGTGTTTCACATAATCAAACCATGATCCATAATCAACTGAAAGAAGAAGAAATATTCGTATTGATAAAGCCATAGATGTTTCGGCAGTGTAGACTTCTAGACTGGACTAACAAAGCTCAAATGATTGTCTTTATACTTGTACAGCTCATGTATTTCGGTGAACAAAACTTATTAGATATTACAATTAATACAATAAATGTAAATCGGTTTATATACATTCATATTATTATTATTATTGTTCGATTTATATAGCGCTTCATTACACATGAGTGTTTCTATTACATTAATATGTGCTTGTCGATCTGGTTTTGTTCATTTTAACGTCCCGAAGGATTAGCGAAAGGGTTTAGTCGCTTTAAGTTGATTGGATTTTAAGGTGCATTTTATTACACCAAAATGTTAAGTATAGAAGTCCATAGCGGACAAGGACAAGATCACTTAAAGGGACTATCCCTTATTTGAACAGTCTCAAAAATAAAAGTCTGAGTATATATGAAATTTAAACGCCAAAATATAGAGGAATGATATATTGGCCGTATCTCAAAATTTCAGCTCAAAATATTGAGTCGTTTGGACGTGACCGTCAAAACTGCTTATCCGGACACGTAACCCTTTTAAGATTTGGGTCAATTTTTTCGTTGGGAGACCTGATAATCGATTCCCGTTCATTGAGAGGTCTATACAGTGAATGACCCAAATGCTGTACTTGATAATGAAATTTAAATTTCACCTACACATTATTTTTATACAAAAATTGTCTGGTTTTATCTAGACACCGCATAATACAGCTTGGGGCACCGGTCTCCATTTCCAAATGAAGACCGACGGGTTTCAGTTATTTGAAAACTTATCACAAATATTGACTTAGTTGCTCGGCCCTTAGGTAGAGGATTTTAAGGAATTTTAAAACAAAATTAAACAGTTTTATTCTCCAAAAAATTATCGGGATTAGCCCTTTAAAGGATAAAACAACTCGTTTAAAATGAAATGATGGTTTATGACCTTTTGTCACCCAATAATACATTCTAAAGTAGATATCACTTGTGTGATAAATTTCATAATCTACTGCTTAGGAGATATCGCTTTACATGAATTTGATTGGTCAGTTATAAAGGAACTACTTTTTTTTTATTTTAAAGAACAGTTCATTTTTTTATTAAAAGTAACTTCTTTTTTATTTATTAAAAATGAACTATTTTTATTTAATTTACCTTGATGGAAATACTGGGTCAATATAAAGTACTTTGCAATGGTTGAATTGCTGTCAAAAAATGATGTATCAATACGCCGTAATGTAATCAGGTTCAGTACAATTGAAATCGATAACAAAGAACTATATTGATTTATTTGTGCGCGTAAGAAGGGATTGGGTCATAAATGAAATTTAATTTATCGACTCGTAGGAGATTCTCTATATAATACACAGTGTATAATTCAAATGCAACACACGAGTTGCACTAGTTGACGAGGACAAGGTAACGTGAAAGCTTAAAACATAACCCAATTAAAATTTCAGCGCAATACTATGGAAGCGTATTGGGGTCATACACAAAAATAAAATAAAAATTAAATTAAGTTGTAATTGGGAGATACTCAGTCCTAGTAAACCATTTGCTAAATATGTCCTAATTGGGACTTTGTATCGCCCAATTAGACACCAGTGTATCGTAATTACAAGTTATTGTCTCCTAATTAGGACGTAGTATCTCCGAATAAGTATCTCCTAATTAGGAGGTTGTATCTCCTTATTAGGACTTTTCACCTCCTAATATGAAGACTATTATTAGGGTCGAATAAATCTTAAAGCATTTGTTAATTAAGTACTTGTGTGTCTTAATTATAACTTATTATCTCCTGAACTGATATGTTTCAAATTGTGTGAAGCATTTATGGCAGGACAAATTAGGTCCTAATTAAGAGATATTAGGTCCTAATTGGGAATTACTATTTCCTAATTAATAGTTACTCTCTTCTAATTAGGCGTTACTATCTCCTAATTAGTCGTTACTATCTCCTAATTAAGCGTTACTATATCCTAATTAGGAGTTACTATTTCCTAATTACGAGTTACTCTCTCCTAATTAGGCGTCACTATCTCCTAATTAGGCATTACTATATCCTATTTAGAAGTTACTATCTCCCAATTAGGAGAATTGTTTAATTATTTATTTAGCCCTAAAACGCTTCCGTACAATACTGTAGATGCACTAGTGAAAGAGAGATAAAGATGCAATGCATATTAAATTACGTTAGGTAATTGTTGTTGGGGTGAAAGTATGTTGTAACGAATCCAAGTATGTCGGAGGGTATGCTTATCCTTTTCAAAATAACAGGTACTAATGTCAAAATGGGAATATGAATTTGTTACTGGAACTGTTATGATACTCTGTACAAATTATAACGGAAACATACTAAAAAAAGGTGTGATGCTCTTTCTAAAGTCGTTGGAGTTGAAATGAAATAAAATGCGATTTAAATTCCCACTTTTCTGCACAACCCGTGCCTTCATAAGCTAATACCTTTGAACACCTGTAACATAGAAAATCGCGTTAACTGTCGCGCTCTCACAACATGTAATAAGATATCTCGTTACGAGTGTCAAAGTTGTCACAAGAACTAGGCAAAAGTGGTAACGGGTGTGAGGCGGAGGGGGGGGGGGGTATTGTCGCAACATGAACCTTCATCTGGAGAACCACGAAGTGAAATGGGCTTTGACATCTTACTTTTCTACACCCAGTGGGCTAATGATGCCATGATTGTTTTACGTTCTGCAAATGGTGTACTTTGGACCCCAGTTCTTCGTCTGTGTCATATCTAAAGGACTGCTGATTTCGATTCCCCGGTTGTACGTGACAAGGAGTAGGGTCGCCTGTCCAACCTCGTGGATTTTATCCAGGGTCTCCTGTTACTTCCTAATGCTAAAGACCCCTACGAGCAAGCAAATTATTGAAATAAAATTAACCCATATATATTAGTCCCGAAATGACCTAATTTGTGTCGAGTGGACGTTAAACTTCTCTCTCTCTCTCTCCATCTAAAGAGTAGACCCAGTCTTCAAAAAGGTGAAACCAGGATGGAAGCAAATTCTCGGTCACCACCTGGAAGTCTTGGTTAGTTGTCGAGCACATTACTCCCCGAGCGAACGTGATAATAAATAAATGCTGACTTACCCTTTCCCTCAATAATCATCTTTAAGTAACTGTTCCAAGTACCGTTATACTGGTAATTATTCTTAAATTTCTTCGTGTGGTTAAAGAACGACACGGCAACATCTTTCAAATTTCTTCGGAGGTAGATAATCTTGTTCTTTAGAGTTTGGAAATCTTTGGGCATTTCGTTGAGTCGTAGGTGAGTATTGAGAATTCTTGGTGACATTTGTTGGTCTATCAGATCATGTGAGGTCAGTTCAAGCATATACGATTCTTTAGCAATAACATCTAAATCTGTGGAGCCAGCAAACAGCATTCGACATACTTCCCATATCCAATGACTGCCTTTAGGATATTTTAAAAGATATTATTCAATAATTTATTTGGAAAGTATAAAATCACATCTCTTGCTACATTTAAAACTTTAAGAAAGAATCAGAGTTTTGGTAGTGGCCATTTGGTGAAAGTGATTTGATTTGAACAATCTGTTGAATAGACGGAAATAGGTCAGTTTCTGCGGGTTTTTTTTAAATTGGGGTTTAACGTATAACTTTACTGCCACAGGCAGATTGGTGAATGGAGGATAAATAACATTGTGGTTTAAGGTCTTACTTTATTGTACCAACCGAGCGAATGTGATATGGGTGGAATTTTGCAAGGATAGCGGTGCCGTTGCAAGCTCTTATTTAGATTTTCAACTGTCGGGGCTGTAAGCTGGGGAATCTTAATTACTTTATTGTATGATAGTAAATGCGCTTTTAACTTTAGCTCTACGAGGGGAATTCTTTGCAAGGGGGGGGGGGGGGTAGGGGGTGGATGGCCGAATAGTTAGCACGTGCGGGCTGTATCATAAAGCCTGTCATTGAGTCAACTGCCGTGGTTTCGAATCCCCGGTTGTACGTGACAAGGAGTAGGGTCGTCTGTCCAACCTCGTGGGTTTTCTCCGGTTCCTCCGGTTTCCTCCCACTGCTAAAGACCCCTACGCGCAAGCGAATTATTGAAATGAAATTAAACCATATGTTAGTCCCGAAATTTGTGTCGAGTAGACGTTACACCCAAAATCTCTCTCTCTCTCTCTCTCTCTCTCTCTCTAAGGGAATACAAGTTAATAATAAACCTACCCGATTTAGGATATGCAATAAGAAAAACATCATCATTCCTGAGTTTAAAATCCGGGATGCCCCGCGCAGCACTGATATTAAAGTTTGGGAATCTTTTCCCATCAACATCTATAAATGTAATAGTTCCTCCTTCGTCGTCTGCTACTTTGATTGTTGCCATTTTTGCAACCTACAAATAATGTAAAAACGACCCTCTTATCTAACTTGTGATAATATCATGTCGTTGTATTATGGGTTGTCGGTTACAAATTGACCTATATACATTTATCGGGAATAACGTCCTTGTGTTATCTAGCGTACCACCATACAGTGTTCTATCTCAGTCGGTCGTAGTGGTTGAATATTATATAAACATCTTACAAATCATATAATAAATGTCGTACCAATTAAATAATTAATTTATAGTAAGGGCTGTACTATAAAGCCTAGACATTGTATAATCTAGTTCATCTAAACGAAACCCTTATTTATTAATAGGTCCTTCTTTCTGTTATCAAATTTTGCACAAGTCATATATAACAATGATATTCAGTGGCTGTCAGAATGGATATTATTTTTAAAGCTTACCCGTTTAAGTGAATCATATACTAATTAATGTCGTACTAATTACTTAATTAATTGATGATCTTACCCGTTTAAGTGAATCATATAATACTTAATGTCGTACTAATTACATAATTAATTGATAGTCTTACCCGTTTAAGTGAGTCATATAATAATTAATGTCGTACTAATTACATAATTAATTGATAGTCTTACCCGTTTAAGTGAATCATATAATAATTAATGTCGTACTAATTACATAATTAATTGATAGTCTTACCCGTTTAAGTGAGTCATATAATAATTAATGTCGTACTAATTACATAATTAATTAATAGTCTTATCCGTTTAAGTGAATCTTACATAAATTAATGTCATACTAATTACATAATTAATTGGTAGTCTTACCCGTTTAAGTGAATGTTTATCTATTAGTAAAATCACTGTTAGACATAAAAGTAATTTAAATGAAAATCGAATTGGCTTATTGTTACATATTTATTCGTACGTGAGTTTTGTGATAACTGTAGGATATAACAAAACTGCAGGACAAGTAGCACGCGTGTTATATATATCATCTACATAGATTTATCTATTTAATCCATTAACATCTAAGAAAGTTTTTTTAGGGTGTTTTTTGCTCATATTAGAGACGTATTATATTGTGTGTGTGTGTGTGTGTGTGTGTGTGTGTGAGAGAGAGAGAGAGAGAGAGAGAGAGAGAGCGAGAGAGAGGGAGAGAGGGGTCATTTCGGGGCTAACATAATGATATGGTTCAATTTTATTTCACTAACTTGCTTGAGCGTAAGGGTCTTTAGCAGTGGCAGGAAACTGGAGGACCCGCAGAAAATCCACGAGGTTGGACAGGCGACCCTACTCCTTGTCTCGTACAACCGGGAAATCCAAACCACGTCAGTTAACTCAATGACAGACCTTATGATATACAACGCGCGTTAACCATTTGCCCCCCCCCCCCCCCGCATTATATAGTAACTAAAAAATAATCACCTTTAATACTAAGATTAAAAGAATTAACAAATATATGTTATAAGATTTGAATTTATATGATCAACGGGATATTATTTCTTAAACAAAGAAGCCTAGTGACAAGTGGTATTGGGTGTTCGGAAATAAAATGGTGTTTAATGTCCTGCTTTCTACACAAACCGGGAAAATGAAGGACATAAGCAATACAGTATGCTATGATAGACATTTTGCCCCAACACCAGCGCTACGGCTTAATCTTGTTTCGAATTTCATCTGACAAGGGTTCTTTTACGTGCACGTCAAAATGTAGATTGGACCTCGGATTTCAGTGCCAACTTAACCACTAGATGCTGTTCATTGCTAGACCCTTCAGTCCTGCACCGCTAACAGGGGGAACAGTGTCGGAATTTAGGACTGTAGATTTGAGTAACAGCCACCACCAGCCCAACCCCCCCGCCCCTACGAATGCTTGTGAACGCCAAAGGAATGAAATGACTACACACAGAATGTGTTACGAATTGCGAAATAACCTCTTGCCAATGTTTCGCTTTGTGACTTATTTGCCCGCCGGCGCAGAGTCAGCATATTCATCTTTGATCTGAATTATTTTATTTTATTCGGTCTTCATCATGCAATTCCTTACAAATATCTTGTGATCACTACAAATTCCTTACAAATATCTTGTAATTAATACAAATTCCATACAAATATCTTGTGATCACTACGTATTCCTTACGAAAATGTTACAAAAGCAAATGGAATATGCGTAGCTTACGAATTTTATGAGCATGTTCTTAATATTTGCACCACCCCATGAACGACCACGACTTCTCTCGAACACCTATGAATGTCTTGCGACCACCTTCTGAGCATTGCGTATTGGTGGCAAATTGCATTTATACGCTCATTCGCCACCATATTATTTCTCGCTGTATGAGACCATCATAATGTTCGAAAACATGCGCGAAGCATGGTATGTCTCATTTGTGTACAACACATGATATAAGCAGTTTGGGAAACCTCACAAACTGCCCTGTACTTGAAACGCAAATATCTACAACAATAGAGAGAGGCCATCTGTTATTTTCGTCTATCTCGGTACTTGACTCTAGATTTTTGTAAATATTCATGATTTTGAAGCGGGCGGGGGATATTAGCGTTAAGGGTTTGATCGCGTTGATATGTACTAATTTGTGTATTTTAAAATATGCTTATTTCAGTGGGCATCCTCGTAAAAGCTTTGGAACATGGCATTATCAAGGGACGTGTGAGCGTAAGAGCGTTCAGCCGAACGAAAATTTGTTAAGGAGAGCGGGAAAGGGGAAATAATTAACATTAAAGTCAGTGGGAGAATATTTTGTGGTCTGCTCCGTATTAACTACAGATTTGTCTCCCTTTATTGAGCTTCATTCCGACACTCCCCCTTTCTTCTTCTTTAAAATTATGATACGACTCAATATTATAGTATGTACAGATGTATTCTGGATGTAAGCTTTTGGGACGCAACCCTACCGACACTATTTCCCAGGAACAACATAACTGGTGTTGGTGGACTTTAGTATCGACCTTCACTAACTGAGTACGAACTACCAGGTTGATTCGAGTTGAAAATAATACCAATAAATAAATACCAATAACACTATATGAAATAAAAGCAGCATAATGCAAAAAAGGTTGTGGTGATATTTTATGTAACAAGCGGTTGCCATGAAAGATACGCCCACATTTTGCAAGAGATAATAGAGAACTGTCAAGGGTTCTTTTACGTGTGTACACGGGACCTCGGGTTTTCGTGCCATCCGAACGACTAGACAACTGTCCTTGTCAGACCCTCCGCCCTGCTTCACTGACAAGGGGGGGGGGGGGAACCACACCGGAAAATCTGGATGAACTTTCTCGAACAATGCAGGAATCGAACACCCACCTCCAGGCTTGCGAGCAAGAGTCTTACCCACTTAGGTACCGTGATCGCTCTCGTGTGAATACATATCAGGTGGTGTGGTAGGTTTATTCCTTGTAACACTGTCAGAATAGGGATTAGTTTAGAAGGGCGCGGAATAGACTTAACGGTATTTGCCATGTTTACAATTTTGTAGCTGAAATGACGAGGCTAAATTAGTGATCTTTCGGATAAAAATTATGACCTCTATAGGGTCAACAAGCTGAAAACGAGATTTTTCGTACAATCAGGGGCCATAATTCAGGAAATTACGGTCCGATATGCGCGAATATCGCACGGAACCAAGATCTTTGGGTTATAAACTTACATTTCAAGTTTTAACAAAATCGGATAAAAAGTATGACCTCTATAGGGTCCACAACCGTGATATACCATATTTTTACGCTATTTGACAACGAAGGGCGGCCATTTTGTCTGTCAGTTTTGGTCCCATTTTCACAAAATTCGAACTCAGCCGTCCTTAAGGTGTAACGGTGATATAATAATACGATTTTTTAAATCGGATAAAAATTATGACCTCTATAAGGTCCAAAAGCTAAAAACGTGATTTTTCGTACAATCAGGGGCCATAATTCAGGAAGTTACGGTCCGACATGCGCGAATATCGAAAGGAACCGAGACCTTTGGGTTATAAACTTACATTTCAAGTTTCAACAAAATCGGATAAAAATTGTGACCTTCATAGGTTCCACAACCTTGATATACCATATTTTTACGCTATTTGAGAACGAAGGGCGGCCATTTTGTCTATCAGTTTTGGGCAGATTTTCACGAAATTCGAACTCAACCATCCTTAGGGTGTAACGGTGATATAATAATACGGTTTTTTAAATCGGATAAAAATTATGACCTCTATAGGGCCCACAAGCTAAAAACGCGATTTTTCGTACAATCAGGGGCCATAATTCAGGAAGTTACGGTCCAATATACTCGAATATCGAAAAGAACCAAGATCTTTGGGTTATAAACTTACATTTCAAGTTTCAACAAAATCGGATAAAAATTGTGACCTCTATAGGGTCCACAGCCTTGATATACCATATTTTACGCCATTTGAGAACGAAGGGCGGCCATTTTTGTCTGTCAGTTTTGGGCCGATTTTCACGAAATTCGAACTCAGTCGTCCTTTGGGTGTAACGGTGATATAATAATACGGTTTTTTTAATCGGATAAAAAATTATGACCTCTATAGGGTCCACAAGCTAAAAACGCGAGATCTTTGGGTTATAAGCATACATTTCAAGTTTAAACCAAATCGGATAAAAATTGTGGCCTCTACAGTGTTCACAAGCTAAAAACGTGATTTTTCGTACAATCAGGGGCCATAATCCATGAAGTTACAGTCCGATACATGCCAATATCGAAAGGAACTGAGATCTTAGGGTGATAAACCTATATTTCAAGTTTCATTGAAATCGGATAAAAATTGTGACCTGTAGACTGTTCACAAACAATTGTGGACGGACGGACGGACAGGGGCGACGACAATATACGTCCACATGAAAATGTGGACGTATAAAAACGACACAGTACAGTGCGTTGATTCAGTCAATTCGAGATAAATCATCTTTTCAGTGCTAAAATCATCTCAACAATCACAATATGTTGACATATTACCCTATTAATATCTTGGCATGTCTCTCTATTGAACCGTATAAGCTTCCACATGAAGCAGAGCTCAACCCCATTTTACTCGCTATCATGTTTTCTGGTGAGCAGTGTTCTATGTGTATGGCGGATGATGGTTATTGGGCGATATACATAATTAGCTAGACCACAGAGATTACCAGAACCTGATAAATGTTTTGATTCTGACACTCCGATGAGTGAAGGCATACAACTTGAGTCACATGCATTACCAATATATAGATTTCCACATAACAAAATTATCGTGTGGATTTATTGAGACAAAGAAAAAGTTTATTGTTTCTGTTGTATTAACTGAAAAGCAAATTGTATTGAAAAACTTATCGTGTGGATTTATTGAGACAAAGAAAAGGTTTATTGTTTCTGTTGTATTAACTGAAAAGCAAATTGTATTGAAAAACTTACAATTGGTCAGTCCGACACGCCGGAGTGGTATGAGCAAAGGAAAGGGTCAATCACCGGAAGCAAGGTTCTAAGGGTTGTAATTTCTATGAAAATAGCAGGGCAAAACCAGAGTGCATTATAAAGGATAAATATAAATATGACCCAGAACTGAGTAAAGAAGTTATGTCTTTAGCATGGAGAATTAAACATGAGGAAAAGGCATTAAACATGTAATAGAAAGATTTGTCACTAGCTTTTTGAGGTCCAATTTTGCAATATTATTCCGATTCTCGCGCCAATTTGAATATGTTTTATTTGTGAATACCACATTTTCTGTAAAACCTGTTTAAATCCCAAAACTAGTATAAAAAGTTATTTAAAAATTTGTAAAAGACGGCAATGGGGATATAATTTGTTAAATTATTGTTGTGTTGATTCAATGTTATTTCATGTAGCACTGGTAC